TCCCGGTGACTTCCTCCTTCAGGAGGATAGGCCTCCAACTACCCCCTCCACCTGCCCAGGGCCACCTCAAAAGTTGTGGGCACTGGCTGTCTGGGAGGCCAGGGCTCAGGACGACTTCTCTACTTGGGATCTGAGTGGGCATCTGGATTCCAAGACCTGTTTGCCCTGGTCCCCCACCCTCACTTAGCCTTAGGGAACAGGAAACACGGAGCACAGGGTCAGGTCACTCCGAGGCCAGCCTGAGCTGTGACCATCCTAGGGCCAAGGCATGAAGGCCTGCCTGGATGGGGAGCTCGATGGTCCCAGCCTCCTGGCTCTGTCTGCTGTGGTAGCCCCTGGCCAGGGTCCCTCAGGGTGTATGGGCTGACCCCAGGGGAGAGAGAGCTGGGAGTGGGAAGGGTGGGGAGACCAGGCAGGCAGGCAGAGGGGAGGGAGGGAAGGCCACTGACAGCAGAACAAATGCTTGTAATTTTATAACCAATCTCAGCGTGTCCGTGGGGGGCCGTTTGCGCCTCCACTCAGGACCAATCAGCCTGACAGAGCTATGAGTCTGCCTGAGTGAATGTGAGCAGCTTCCCCCCCCAACACCACTTACTGCAATCTCATTACCCACCCAGCCCAAGACTGGCCAGAGCTGAAGGGAGGCAGGGAAGGGGGATCCAGCCCACGCTGGAGCGGAGCCAGGCCGGAGCCAGGGCTGGGCCTGGGGTCAGGAGGGCAGGTGGGCGGCCTTGGAGGTCCAGTGGCTCAGGGGGAGGAGGACGGGAGGCAGGCTCAGGAAACGTTTACTGAGAACCCACTGGTGGCTGAGCACGTAGGATATGGACAGGGCACAAACCCTGCCCTCAAGGGGCTTGCAGTCCGCTGGGAGCAGATGGAAAGATTAGAGGGATGGGGCCTGGTGAAGGTGGAGATGGAGAAGTGACCTGAAGGTGAGGAGGGGCAGAGCCCTAGAACAGAGCCGGCACTGGGCATGGGGCAGGAAGGTGGGGGTAAGGAAATCAAGGGAGAAGGAACCAGAGGAACCTCAGGAGTGCACGCGGAGCCCCAGCAAAGAGGTACAGGACATGGGAGAGAAACGCCCATCTGGGAAGAGAGGAGGGCAGCCAGGAGGAGCTGGCTGGGCAGTGGTGGATATTAAAAGACGGCCTTGCTGGATATCTGGCTCTGGGGATGGCTATGTGCCCATTAGTCTCTCTAATTGTCAAAAATCTAATTTAGTGTCTGGAGCCCGGGCCGGCCTCGGGTTAAATGGAGGGAGGCAGGCCTAGCCATAAATCTGCCCTCCCAGTCGGGGCTGGTGCTAATTCTACAGTTAAGTGAGGGGGTGAGGAGCGCAGCAGGACGGGACAGGGAGGGTTCTGGAGAGGGGCTAACTCCGACCCTGCATGCCAGCCTCCTGTGCTAAGTCATAGCCAGACCCTCCTCTCTTGCTGGAGGAAGGGGACTTGCCTGGGCTCATGTGGACCACGCAGAAGAAGTGCCTCCATGTGTGATGAGCTCAGGACAAGAGTCCTCTCAGGGTCTTTTGTGGCTGGGATTGTAAACCCATCAGCCCCTCCTCCTCGCAGGCCCACTCTGGGGCTGTGTGGGCTCAGCTCCTGCAAAGTGATCCGTAGGAAGATTATATATACTTCCTAATAACATAGTGAGCCTTTGGTGAGGAAGGGGGCATGGGGATTCACACCACATGATCAAGTGACTGGTCATCCTGTTCACCAAACAATAGCCTCAGTGATGGGGACCTGTGGGCCATTCCTCAGTGGGGAGAACAAACACAAACCCTTGAGTGGCCTAGCCTCTCCTTCCCTGGGTCATTCCAAACTAGGTGCATGGACAGACTGGCAGCCGGACTGGGGCAGTCCCCGGGGGCCTCGTGTGTCCTTAGGCAGGGGAAGGCTCCGTAATGACCTCACTCCCCTCAGAGCTGCTAATTGAAAGCAAGGGGTGTGGCAGGCGCAGCAGGAAACGTTGGGGGACTGAGGGTTCCCTAAGAGGCTCTGCTTCCATGGGGGGAGGAAAACAATTTCTCCTGGCTTTGGCTCCATCTCACCAGACACCCACCTGGCCTCTCCTGCTGCTAACGAAGTGCCTTTAATTAGCAGCCTAATAAAATGCTCTTAATTGGCAAGAGCCAATCAGGAAGAAGAGAGGTCTCCTCCCTTAGTCATTGCCGATGGTGGTGCAGCTCTAGGTTTCAAGGGGAGAGGGATTCCAGGCCAGCCTCGCTTTAGTGACTTCAGGGCCTGACACTGGTTTGAAGGTGAGACCCATAAAACCCAGGCCCGGCCTATGCTCAATTCTGGGCTCAGGAGACCGGCTGGTGAGTGACAACTGAGTAGATGCCAGTGGCCTGGGGGGTGGTCCTCTGCTGACTCCTCCCTTCCTGTCCTTAGTTGTTAGGGAGGAGACTCTAGTGTGGTCTCAGGCAATGTGAGGAGGCCCCCTTTCTTGCTACTCAGGTTCCCCACCTGCAAAATGCCAGGTGTACCTGAGGCTCTGATGTGCCTTCAGTTCAAGTAGGGTAGTTCTGCAGTGGGGCCCTGACATCTAACAGTCTGAGAGAGCTCCCATGACCACAGTGTCAGTCCAGGTATGACAGGCACTGAGACCACGGGGTGACAGATCCAAGGAGTCTGGTCAAGCAGGGAGGAGCACTACCACTGAAAGCCCACAGATGGAAAATAAGAGGGAGTAGAGGGGGGTCTGTCTATGCTGATAACCTTGTACCCATCTTCCAAGGTTTGGCCAAGGTTTGGTTTAAGTAGGGAAGGGGGTGGGTTCACCTGGAGTAGCAGTGTTTTCCCTCAGATGGTCAATGCACCCTTCATTAAAAAAAATTTTTTTTGGGGGGGGGACACCTGGGTGGCTCAGTTGGTTAAGCGTCTGCCTTCGGCTCAGGTCCTGATTCCAGGGTCCTGGGATCAAGCCCCACATCGGGCTCCCTGCTCAGCTGGGGAGCCTGCTTCTCCCTCTCCCTCTGCCTGTTGCTCCCCTCTGCTTGTGTTCTCTATCTCTCTGTGTGTCAAATAAAATCTTAAAAAAATTTTTTTTTTTTAATCTCTACACCAAACATGAGGCTCCAACTTAAAACCCTGAGATCAAGAGTCACATGCTCTGCCTACTGAGCCAGCCAAGCACCCTGCTCCCTTCATTTTTGTAGCTTGTTGGAGTTTCTCTGGAAATTGCTCCTGAATGTGAGCTCACCTTTCCAGAAACTGACAAAACGGGATATAGGGGTAACCCATCTCAGTCACAGAGGAGTCAGAGGAAAATCTAAGTTCTGGGCCCCGGCTGGGTTGTGGCAGGCTGAGGCTATAGTGACCAGTTCCCAAATTACCCATCACTTTGGCTTTGGTTTAATTCAACATGGAACATTAGTTGTCTTCCAGGGGCCCCAGATTTTTTCACACCATTTGGCCCTCACTTCTCTAAATGTTTTCTCATGTCAGATTATCTTAAAAGATATCTGTGCACTCCCTCAATTGATATATTGAAACTCATTGTCCTCTTGATGTTGGGGCAAAGAGACAAGACACTTAGAAAACTCACTTTAATCTTATATTTGTAATTTAAGTTACTTTTTTCTCAACAGTTAAAAAAAAAAAAAAACAAAAACCAGAACACACTATTTTACCATGATCCTAGGTTCTGAACATACTGGTACCTTGACTACACATCACGAAAACATAACCACAAAAGTCAAAGCAGTCAGTACTTAAGAGTCTAGAGAACAGAGAGCTGAGCCAACTGAAAGCTCTCAGGGAAGCTCACACTCGTTGCCAGGCCTGCCCCATAGCTGGAGTCCAGCGAACATTCCTCACAACAGTCTGGGTGGGCTTAGGTGATCACTGATTTGGGAAGGTGGTAGTTTCCTTGGTACCCAAAGGTCTAACCCTCCTTGTTGGTCTTTTCCTTCAGTGTCCAAGAAGAGAAAGGGATAGAGGGGAAGGGACACTTTATAATGCCATTCACTACACTGATCCTTAAACACACACAGAGCCAACCATGAGCTGAGAGAGCTGGGTGGACTGGAGAGCATATGTTTTAGAGGTCATCGGCCTCCAGGAAATTTTAGATCATAGGTACTCAACTTCCAACAGAAGAGGTTTCCAGATATCAATGCTTTAAGTTCCACCAGAAATCAGGCAGCCATAATTGTGCTTTTTTGGTTTCGCTCCTCAGTTCCAAGTATTCTGAAGTCACAAATTAACTACAGATAAAAACAGCAGAAGCAAAACTCAGCTTTATTACCCTAAGAGATGGCTATCTTTCTGGCACTGATTACGTTGAGCCAATGGTAAAGTAAGGGGCTCTGCTCTGTCAGTGATCAGCTATGTGGATGAAGCCCAGGGAGATGAACTCTGCCTTCAGGCTTTGGGTGTGCTGGTTACAAGTGAGAGTTATTCTAGGAGGGAAAAGGAATGCAAGGAGAAGCAAGGGCACCTTTTCATGTTCTCCGGGCTCTTGGAAAGTCTGTTCAGCTCACCCAAATAGGGAAGATCAGAAATGTGGATTAAACTCACATGGTAAACCTGATCATCAAAGAGCTGTGATGGTCACAGGTGGTGGGTATCTAAGCATCCCTTTTTCCACTAGGAAGTACCTTTCGATTCCTCCCGAATTAAGCTTGGAGCCTAGGCTCTCACGCCTGCACTATTCTGGGTTGGACTGCTCGCACTTCAGGCAGGAAGGTATTATCATCTAAAATAAATGGAAGATGCCAAGAAGGTCAACAATACCAAGGTATCTAATCTACTTCTAGGAAAGAAAAAAAATACCCTAATTATTTCCAATATCCCCTACCCCCCTCCACCCCAAGCCCTTGGTTTCCACATACAATCAAGTGCTAAGTAAGGAGTAGACCAACCACAGCTGTTCCGACCAATGGGTACCAGGAGACGGCAGAGGAGAAGAGTGCATATTTTCTTCTCTTCAGCTTATGACTTTACAAAAGAAAAATAAGAAGGATTTTTCTTACTCAAGCAGAAAACAGAATGATTTAGGGGTCCCAGGTTTTTTTTTTTTTTTCCAGTTCAGAAACAAGTTATGAGGGCCAGACTTTATTACTTGTCAATAGAGTTCCAGAGAGTCCTGTCTCTGAAGTTTATGGTGAAGAGTCCCCAGAAAAAATCTTGCCAAGGGACAAGTGTAAAAGGCCTCCATTCACAATTCATGTCCACTTTCAAATGGCACATAAGAAAGGAAAAGGATGTTCTCAGCAGTGAAAATACACACATGTGCAGCAAGGCATGCTGGTTTTGTCCAAGCAGCCCAGGTGTGACTGGAGAGCTCCTGAGTGCCCAGAGAGTTCCAGGGTGCAGGCGCAGGTGCGTGCATGCGCTCCTTGCGTGCCCGCCTTTGAAGGGGCTTCCTCCCATCTTTAAGAAACGCCTCTTTCAGGCCCACACTGGAATTTTAGTGAGAAGAGACTAATCTACAATGGAGACATGCCATTTCAGAGCCAACAGACTCCTTCAGCTCCTTTTCTACCATTCCTTTCAATGTATTGAGACTTTCTTTGTTTCTCTTTTCTTTTTAAAAAGGTCAAACTTTACATTTATTCTAGCCCAGTTGGGGATTAGTGATAATCAATTCCGACCGAAATCATGCAGAGATGGTAAGTGGGGTTTACCTTCTCTGGAAATGAACTTCTACTTACCTGATTATTTCTTCTACAATGAACTGGTAAATGACCCCCAGAGCTGAGAAATGAGACTGACTCAGTTTTTCAGACCACTTAACTTCATTCCCATTTCCATCAGCAGCAAAGGACAACTTGGAGAACATGCTCGATGGAGCTAATGGCTCCAGACTGCAGGGTCCACCCTTGATCTCATTTATGATGTACTGGACAAGCTTCAAAACAATCTTAGAAATAATCTACCTTCAACTGAACCTAGATGGGAGAGCAAAACCCCGGGCATCAATGAATATTCAACAGCTCCCACTTTTAAATAGCAGCATATAACAGAAGGGCTATTAAAGTTATGGCTATTGGACAATATTTTCAAACAGCTTGAAATCCACGCCCCTTTAATGCCTGACCTGTGTGTTACTCAGGGCTGATGGCCCTCTGCCTCACCTGTAGCAAAATCCTTAACCAATCAAAAAGCCAAAAATAGTCAACACAATAGACAAGGAACTCTGATGACAGCTAAATAGAAAACACTTCTCTGTAGCATTTGGGTGGGTGGGAAGGGACTTATACTCAGAAAATATTTCCCAGGCAATGACATATTACACTGGGAAATATTTTCTGAATATAACCTGGAACCAAAAGCTTAAAAGCTCTCCTGAAGCCGGAAAGGAAAAGCATATATGCATAACTTGCCCCTCAATACATAACAACAACATTCAGTCACATCAGAAGGGAAGGGTGAAGATGGCTTTCTCTCCCTCTCCCCCTTGCTTAACTAAAGGTGGTCTGGCTCTGAGGTCACCTGCAACTGGCTTCCATTCTGATGTTTTTACAGCAGCTGGCTAAAACGGGGCTTTCTTTTACTCAACTGCTTTGCTTAGGAACAGAAACAACAGGCCTGACTAACTGCTCAGCTTCCAAGGGAAACTAGAGACTGCAGTGTGGCCTTGAACCTGTAATGGGTGTGCCCACACCACACGAGAGGGCTGGTGCAGCCCCGTGCCTCCCCCGGGAAACAAGCTGGGCACATGCTGGTAGTATTCTGTGTTCCCAAGTTGGGGTGGCACACCCGCCCTGCCCGACGCTTATACAGCTGCCTTTTAAGTGGCCAGGTTGGCCTGGCTCTTGCTGAGGTCCATTTGTTTATGTTGCTTACCAACTTCCAGAAATTTTATTGGCTGGGGAGAGTGGAGAGTTAAATAAGGCCGGAGGAGGAAGAAAAGAAAAGCGAAGGCAATTTCTGCCCCATTAGTAAACCCTGTGTGCCAAACTTCACCCTGATCCTCTTTCCGGCAGCTTTGCCCTTTTGTAAATACCAGGTTTGGGAAAAGCAGGAGGAAGGTTCTGCAGTGCAAGGTTGAGATGATTAGCTTGCTTTCTGAGAGATGATATTTACTGTTCTAAATGAGAAAGAAATCCACTTTTACCTCTGACCACCTCTCAACTACTCTGATCGTGGTCTTGGCAAAGACACAGGAGCTGGGTGTCCACAGACCCTGACGAGCAAATCAGAGATGTGAACCATTATGTGGACTGCACCCAGCGACTGGCTCTGGCCATTTCAAACCTTTCTTTAGGCTGAGCCTTACCAGTGATTTAAGATGAAGTACAATGCTTTTCATTACACATCTAATTGTTAATGAGAGGAAATGCAATCAGCAACTCCTTTGCACACTCTACATGGAATCGAGGAGACTGCTGAGTCCAGAAAAGATGTGGCCATTGATGGAGCCCAGGCGATTTCTGCCCCCACCCCCACCTTTTTAAACTGATGGGGGTGCTGTTAGGAGAGAGAGAAGAGTTGCAAATATGATGAGAGTACCTTCTAAGAACCCACTGCTGCCCCACAGGGTCACTTGCAGCAAAAGCCTGGGTTTGAAACTTTGACTGGACAGCATTTAGCTCTTCCAAGTGTGGCATTTTCTCTGATTTGCCTCATGTTAACTGAGAACCTCTCTTCGAACTCTTTCTTCTCAGGTGCAGCAGAGAAACAGGTTGAAGGAGAGTGGGGGAAAAGGGAGGAAGGACAGAAACAGAAAGAGATGAAAGGAAAGAGGCCCAGATCTTCCAGTGTGTATTTTTGTTTTCTTTCTCGCCCCAAAGGCCATACAGACAGCTGTCTTCTCCTAAGCACAGTGAGGCTGGGCTGATCCTGCCAGGTGCTGGGCATTCCTGGAGTTCACAGGGAGAAAATGGGTGCTGTCTGGCTTGAAGCTGTACCCCCTGTCCCCTAGAAGTTGGTCTCCCAGAAGGCTATATAGGGAAACTAGTTCTTCTGCTTAATGGCAAAGCAAGAGAGATTCTGGCAAAACACTAAATATATTTATAAGTCATCTTTGTCTGGAACCAAATGAGGAAAAACAGGTGCAGAGAGGAAAGGAGGGGAGGTGAGGTGAGGTTTAAAAGTTCCAATCATTCACAAAAGATAAAAGACATCTTCTGATAGCAGCACGGAAGCAGTCAGCTGTGCTGAGTAGACCATCCTGGGTCGACTGCAGACCAACTGTGTCCCAACAGGAGTCTCAAAGCCCCGTTCCTCGGCTAGTCCGGGGAAGTGGGTAGTAGTTTGATTGTTACTGTTGTTGCTCATCCTGGTATTGGCAGATATGTTAAATACCGCAACTTTAATGAGTCCTGTGTGAAAACAGAGCACAGTCATTAGTCCCTTTCCCTACATTTCTCACTTGTTCTAAGAGGAGAAGAATATTAACTTAGCTGTCAAATGGGAGAAAGGCTCAGAGGTCCTTCCTAACACCTGCTCTCTGCCCAGGCCAAGCAGGAGCTTCTGTCAAGGGCTACACAGGCTGCGTGGGGACACGGTGGGGCTCACGGACACGCTCAGGGCCGCAGCGCTTGTGCAGTGTGACTCCGACATACGAGTGACTCCGGCAGGTATATCATCAAGGTCTCACCTGCTCCCTGTGATGGTGGAGTAGGTGAGGCCAGCTCTGAGGTTCTGGCCCTGAGCGGCCAGAAGCATAGTTGTGCCACCAGCAGAAGGGGGGCAGCTGGGTGAAGCTGTCCAGCCTCCTGGCTGGAGGGCCCTGGCAGAGTGGATGAGGGGGAAGTCTGATTGTTAGAAGTGTGCACCAGACACGCTCCTTGTAACTTCAAGGACAGGTGTGTAGGTGGTGGCTGGTAATGTGGCCTGGAGATTAAGACAGAGGTTGGGACTAGAGATACAAATTTGAGGGTCACCTACAATGAGATGAGAGCTGAAGCCTCGGGAAGAGAAAAAGCAGCCAAAACAGGAAGCTTTGATAAGGAAAAAAAGTCCGAGACACACTCTTAGGGGATGTCTGTTTCAGAGGTGAGAGGAGAAAGGAGACCAACAATAGAAAGCCAGGAAGAATATTAAAAATGGCAAAATGCCATAGTAATCTAATGAAAATTTTGTCAAAAGGAGGGGATAGATACATGACAATTACAGTATTACTAACGATGACCACTTTTTACTGAGGGCTTGTTCTGTGCTAGGCACCGTGCTAAGCACTAAGAATTTTACATAGGACATTTCAGTGCAATCCTCACAACAGCTCTGTGAGGTAGGGATTGCAATCCATCTTACTAATATGGAATCTAAGGCTCTGGAAGTTGCTTGCCCAGGGGTACACATCTAGGATTCTCACCTGCCTGGGTAAACTGGCTGAGGGATAGGAAGCGGTGTGTCCTCTGTGAGAACAGTGAGCACTGAAGTGAGTCCAGCAGGGCATGGACCACCCCACTTAGAACCACTACAAAAAGATACGCAGAAAAGTGTACTAAATCTGTACTTCGGCCATTGAACTAAGGTAAGTGTGGGAAATAAGAAATCATAATGACAGTACATTCCCCAGTAGTGCAGTTTCCCCAACCCAATGATAACCTCATTAATGGATTTGAACTGCTTGACGCTGGGTGTGATCTGAATATACCATTACATAGATAAAGATGAAATGTGGGATGTTCTCCTTCCTCAGAGGGAGGTTGGAGACTTGAGTGGGAGAATAAATGGAGTTGTCACCAACTCCGAACTACTATCAAGGCCTTTTTTGGAGGGGGTGGGGAGTGGGGATGAGGATAAAAAAGCCATGTTTTATAATCCAATGACACTGACAAGGCTGTGAGAAGTCAGCCAAGAGCTGTCACCAAGAAATTTTCTACTCACACATTATTTACTTGGTTTAAAGGGTCTCTTATTATAGGAACTGGTTTGATCTGGGAACTACAAAGTCACTGGCCTTATGGCTTACTCTCAGCTTTGAAACTGATTCAAATCTCATTTTATTTTCTTAACAATCCTATTAGATAACTGGGGCAGAAATTATTCATTCAAATCTAGATCAAGAATCATCTAGAATTGAGGCTAGCTACCTTGATGAAAGACAGTGTCCAGTGCAGCCCCAGCCCTGTCTCATGTTGTTGCTTCACCTGCTTTATAGGAATTGGAGAGAGAAAGGGTACGAGAAGGCTCCATGAGCTAGCAACAGCCAATATTCCATCTCCTACCCACAGTGCTATTTACACAATTCTTTTTCATACCTGGGCAAGTATGAGGTCACTGTATGATTATTTATCTGGAGATATAGGTGTATGTTCGAGAAGGGGAGCGGGGGGGTTCAGCTTGGGCAGCTGGGTCGTTTAGGAAGTCCCAGATGAGGATTGTGTCATCATGTGAACTACTGACAATCTGGAATTCATCAAACTGGAGTCGGAAAACTCTTCCAGAATGCTCCTAAAGCAGCAGAAACAAAAACTTTTGAACTACTCAAAATCAAAAGGACACAAATTCAGCAACATGTCAAAAGAAGTCTATGGAAAGACTAAGTGTATGATGATAATCTCTAATATTTAGCTGTTTCAAGAACACAGAAAAAAAGCAATTTGGATTAAAGGCAGAATGGAGAAAGTCCAATATTGGGCAGTTGATTTTGTACAATCAAAGGTATATTCACTAGAGCTGAGCCATGTCAAACAATATGCTAGTTTCTCACTGCTAACTCTCCTTGGTTTAGGCTGAATGAGAACATTTCTCAGTACCTCCCTGGCCTTATTCTCTTTCTGTATCTGTTGGATTCTTCTACAATCAGAGGCCAAGGATTGATGAGCAATAATACAAGGTGGGCTGGTAAATGTTTATCAACTAATTCTCCCCAATTTGTAAAAGCATTCACACATTTTTGTGGTGTAAAAATTCCTACAGTGGTTAATTTCAAGCTACCCATGTGAGGTCAACAAGCTTGCAAAACTCATGACAATTTGACAACTGTCTCTCATTAGCAGGTAAAGCTGCTCTAGCGCACACTGGCAGTAACTACCACCTTGGTCAAGATGTAGACTATTTCCAGCATCCTGGGAAGTGCCCTCATGCTCCTTACTTCTCAATACTACTTCCACCCCAATGCTTTCATCATCAATTCATTTTTTCTGTTCCTAAATTTCATATAAATACACTCATACAGCATGTATTCTTTTATGCCTGGTTTCTCTTACTCAACAGTGCAAGATGCATCTTCGTTACTGCATGTAATGTTCTTCTCTAAAATTACTGGTTGCCATTCCATAATACGAACACACTACATTTTATCTTTTGTCCTACGGTGGACATATGGGTTGACTGTAGTTTGGGCTATTTAATAAAGCTGCTATGAACACTTATGTCCATGTTTTTTGAAGGATATATGCTCTCATTTCATCTAGTAGAGCTGCGGGGCCATGGAGTAGGTATATGTTTAGCTTTAGTATGTACAGGGAAACAGTTTTATTTTTTTTCAGTTTTACAAAAGTTGTGCCAATTTATACTCCCACCAGCAATGTATCAGAGTTCCAGTTGCTCCACATCTTCACCAACAAACTGATACTATCAATCTTTTAAATTTTAGACATTTTGATATGTTACTGGAGTTTCAATTTGCATTTTTCTTTATGAAGTTAGGAAGTTCCCCCTCTATTCCTAGCTTGTTGAGAGTTTTTATCATGAATTGACACTGGATTTTGCATGTACTGATATAACAATGTGATTTTTCTTCTTTAGCTTTTTGATGTGATGGATTAGATAGCTGAATTTTTGAATACTAAACCAGTTCTGTCTACCTGGAATAAATGCCACTTGGTCATGGTGTGTGTATACACACACACACAGACACACACACACACATATATTATACATCGTTGGATTCAATTTGCTAATATTTTGATGAGGGTTTTATTTTTAAGAGTTACTTCATTTTCCTGGCATACTGCTACCTTTTAAGTAAGTATAGAAATTTTCTTTACTGTGAAATCACTAAATATAAGGACAGTGACAAGACTACACTTAGATTTTAAGAAAAGTGTTTAAAATATTACCAAAAAATCCTGCATAATACTCATATTAGTCATACAATTGTGTTTGCCTATTTTAAAAATATTTTAATTTGTATTATGGAAAAAACCACATAAAATTTATGTTTATCCATTGTTAAGTGTACAGTTCAGTTTTTTTTTTTTAAGGTTTTATTTATTTATTTGAGAGAGAGAGAGAGACAGCTAGAGAGGGAACACAAGCAAGGGGAGGGGGAGAAGGAGAAGCAGGCTCCTGGCCGAGCAGGGAGCCCGATGTGGGGCTCGATCCCAGGACCCCGGGACCATGACCTGAGCCGAAGGCAGACGCTTAACAACTGAGCCATCTAGGCGCCCCTACAGTTCAGTGTTGTTAAGTACATTCACACTGTTGTACAATCAATCTCCAAAACTTTTTCATCTTGCAAAACTGAAATTCTAAACCCATTAAACAACAACTCCCTATTTCTCTCTGCCCCCAACCCCTGGCAACCACCACTCTACTTTCTGGGTTTGACCACTGTAGATACTTCATGTAAGTGGAATAGTACAGTATTTGTCTTTTGTGACTGGCTTGTTTCACTTAACATAATGTCCTCAAGTATTATCCATGTTGGAGCATATGACAGTATTTCCCTTCTTCTTAAGGCCGAATAATATTCTACTGTACGTATATACCACATTTTGTTCATTCATTCATCTCCTGATGAACACTTGGGTTGCTTCCACCTCTTGGCTACTGTGAATAATATTGATATGAGTATGAGTATGCAATTAACACTTTGAGATCCTGTTTTCAATTCTTTGGGATATACACTTAGAAGTGAGGGTGCTTTATCTTTAATATTTTGAGAAACCCCATACTGCTTTCTGTAGAGGTTGCACTATTTTACTTTCTTTACAAGAAGTAAATGAGCTCATAGATTATCATCTGTGTTCATGAGACATATGATCTGTACTTTTCTTGTAATACCTTTTTTTGCTTTTGGTATGAGGGTAATGCTGGCTTCATAGAATGCGTTAGGAAGTATTCACTCTGCTTCTATCTTCTGTAAAAGATTGTGAAGAATTGGTATAATTTCTTCCTTAAACATTTGGTAGAATTCACCAGTGAACCCATCTGGGCCTGGTGCTTTCTGTTTTGCAATGTTATTAATTATGGATTCAATTTCTTTAATAGGCATAGGCCCATTCAGATTGTCTACTTCTTCCCATGTGAGTTGTAGAAGATTATATCTTTCAAGGAATTGATCCATTTCATCTAGGTTATCAAATTTGGGGGCATAGAGTTGTTCATAGTATTCCTTGATTACTATCCTTTTAATGTTCACGGGATCCAAAGAGATGTAAAATTGGGTTTAACATTTGGATGCACATGAAAGTGGTTAACAAGATCCATTCCTAACTCTCAGCAATCTAGGAATATAAAGAAGCTTCCTAATCCCCTGATAATGGGTATCTACAAAAAATCTACAGCTGACATGTATCTATATATATGTATATACAAAATGGTGAAAGACCAACTGTCTGTTCCCCAAGATAAGGACATCCACTCTTACCAATTCTTTGAACTTTGGACTGTAAGTCTTAGTCAGTACAATAAAACAAGAAAGAGAAATGAAAGGTACACATATTGCAAAAGAAGTAACAGTGTATTTCTATATGCTTGTAATACACAGCTCAGAAATTAAAAATTTTAAAAACCCCCAAAATTAAAATATCATTTACAATAGCACTAAAAATATGAAATACTTAGGGATAAATATGACAAAAGATGTGTCAGACCTTTACACTGAAGGCTATGAAACATTGTTGAGAAATTTAAAGACCTAAACAAATGGAGAGAGATACTGTGTTCATGGACCAGAAGACAGTGTTGTTAATTCTCTCCAAACTGAGCTAGATTCATCAAAATCCCAGTGAAAATCTCATCTTTTTTTTTTTTTGGTTGTTAAAATTGGCAGATTCTAAAATTCACATGAAAATTCAAAGGACCCAAAAAACTTTGGAAAAGGAACGAAGTTGAAGGACTTACACTTCAAGAGTTAATAAAAAGCTGCAGTAACCAAGAAAGTATGATACTAGCATCATGACAAACAAAAAGATCAATGGAACTCAATAGGTCCATAAGTAGACCCACATAATAGAGTCAATTGATTTTTGACAAAGCTGCAAAAGGCAATTCAGAGGAAAAAGGATAGTCTTTTGAATTAAATAGTGCTGGAATAATTGGATATCTGTATGAACTTTGATCCATACCTGTACCATCTATAAAAACGGACTCAAAATAATCACAGGCCAAAATGTAAAGCCTAAAACTATAAAAATTCTAGAAGAAAACACAGGGGAAGATCTTTGCGACTTTGGATTTTTAAAGATTTTTTTTTTTTTTTTAGATACAACTGCAAATGACACAATCCATAATAGAAAAAGTTGATACATTGGACTTAACAAAAATTAAGAATTTCCAAAAGGTGCTCGTAAAAGAATGAAAAACCAAAACATGGACTGGGAGAATATGTTTGTGAATCACCTATCTCAAAAAGGGCTTATATTATCCTGAATATGTAAAAGAAATCTTAAAACTCAGTAAGAAACCCAACCAATTAAAGTAGCAAAAGATTCAAACAGATAACTTCACCGAAGTAGATATACAGATGGCAAATAAAAGCAAGAGAAGATGCTCAACATTATTAACATTAGGTATATGCAAATTAAAATCATAATGAGATACCGTGACACACTATTAGAATGACTCAAACTAAGTATTAGTGAGGACGTGGAGTAACTGGAACTCTCATGCACTGTCACATGATACAACTGCTTTGGAAAACAGTTTGGCAGTTTTTAAAAATATGAAACATACACTTAACTGTTCTGCTTCTATGAATTACCCCAGAGAAATGAAAGCATATGTTCATTTCATTCTACACAAATGTTTACAAAAACTTTATTTATAATAGCCCCAAATTAGAAACAACCCAAATTTTCATCAACCAGCAAAAGGATAAATAAAGTATGGTATAACCATACAATGGAGTACCTAACTCAGCAATTTTTAAAAAGAAATGAACTATTGATATAAATCAGAATCTCAAAATAATTATGCTTAGTGAAAAGAGACAAAAAAGAGTAAATACTGTACTGTATGATTCCGTTTATAAAACCTAGAAAATACAACCTAATCAATATTGACAGAAAGCAGATCAGTGGTTGCCTGGGGATTGGAGTAGCAGGAAGTGGGGTGGGATGGGAAGGAGAGATTACAGAGGGGGCATGAAGATATGTTCATTATCTTGGTTGAAGTAGATGGTTTCACTGGTATGTACATGTATCAAAATTTATTGAGTTGTACACTTTAAACATGTCCCCTATATTGTATATCGATTTTATCTCAGTAAGTCGGTTTTTAAAACTTAAGACAACTCAATAAATAAATGAGGACAAGATTTGAACAGATACTTCATAAAAGAAAAGCAAATAAAAAGATGTTCTACACCATTAATTATCACAGAAATGCAAATTAAAACTACAACCACTACACACCCACTCAAATGGCTATGATTTTTAAAAACTGACAATACTGAGTGCTATCAAGGATGTGGAAAAATGGAAAAATGGGACTCTTATACATTCCATCAGTGGAAATACAAAATGGTTTGCATTTGTGAACTCCCAAAATGCCACTCTGGGAAACAGCTTGGTAGTTTCTTTTAAATATAAACACACACTTATCATAGGATCCAGAAATTGCACTCCTAGGTATTTACCTAAGAGGAAAGACAACAGTATGTATACACAAAAATCTGTAAGGGAATGTTTTCAGCATCACTCCAAACTGGAAGCATTCCAAATGTCCTTCAACTGGTAAGCAAATAAACAAACTGGCACAACCACACAATGGAATACTACTCAGCAATACAAAAGAACAAAGTACGAACACAGGTAACAACATGAATGAATCTCAACTGAAGTGAAAAAAGCCAAATGCAAAAAGCTACATACTATATGATTTACTTTACAGGACATTCATAAGATAGCAAAAGCATTGGGAAGAAATCAGATAACTGCTAGGGGTGGGGGAAGAGGGGATTGATACGAAGGGGCATCATTTTTGGGGTGATGGAAATGTTCTAGATCTTGACTGAGGTGTTTATACACTGCAGAATTCAGAAAAAATACACTGAAAAAAGGTAAATTTTGCTGTATGTAAATTATACCTCACTTAGATGTAGATTAATTGTAGATGAATGAAAGTACACATTTTAAAAAACGTGTGTGAAACACGCAGGTAAAGCAGGTCTGGTGCTGCAAGAATGAGCTTTAAATCCAAAAAGGAAGACAAAGAAACATCTCTTCTCTCTCTTCCCCAGAGCAGAGACCGCCAAATGTTGAGAGTTAGGATTCAGAACACTGGGCTTCAAATGTTAGCTCTCATCTTTTTCCTGAGTTGTGCTCCCTGGTGCCCCACCTAATCTTCTTTTTCGAATGGCAGCAGCTTTTAACCTTAGGCCATTTTCTCATGCAGGCGTTTGGTGAACACCATGATAAAGAATTTAGTGCTTTCAAAGGTGACTTTCCTCCTTTTGAGTCACTTCTTTCCTCAAATGTCAAGATGTTCACGGCAAGGGGGTATATGAGGAATAGAAGACATGGGATTCACGTGGCTGGAGGCAGCACGCCTTGAATAGGCTGCAGAGCCAGGGGGCTGACCAGGGGCTCACACAGGCTCCCACGGCACTTTTTGCAGGCACAGGTGTGCAGGTCCTCAGCTTCTGGACAGGTTCCAATTTGAGTAATTATGTTCTCGTCCCCTAAGTAACCCCTACCGTTTCTGGTAGATACAGAATTCTTACTCACTTCCTGTACTAAACTGTGGTGTGGAGTTGCTGTGCAGCTGTTAAACAGCTGCCACGTTCCTCTCCATATACAGTCTCTAATGCACTTTTGGATGAAAGGCGCTACATAAACATATTTTATTGTCATGTATTGGTTGCCTTTCCACTTAGTAGTAGGTTTTGTGAACTTCTAACTATCAAATCCAGATCTGTATTCCACAGCACATCAATGTTCAATTTCTTCTCCTTCCTGTCCCCCAACTCCCTCTAAACAACGAGGCTCTTACCACAAGGGTCCGTAGACAGAGAGTCCCTGCAGGAGCACGGGGGTCCAGAGCAGCTACAAGATCCCACACTTTAATTTTTCTAAAGATCAAAAAGGGGACAAAAATCTTAATTAAAAGCAAAATTAAGGGACCACAGGAAGAAAAGCAAAAAGTCATGGCAATAAATATGTACGGTGAATGTGATTTATACGATAAATGCAGCTCACAGGAATATATAAAAACTTTTTTGTTTTGGAGACTTGGTTCTTGCATTCATTCTTGGGTAGAGGTTATTGGTCTTAACAGGGGAAAATGTACAGGTTTAACCTAAAAAACGAGAAATAGGTTAGCTTTAACCAAGCTGAAGATAGTGAATGGTAAAGTTACACCATATTTTGGGGCCAGGAAGAGATCTTATACATTAGACCTCTTAATGATATAAGAAGTCACTTAGACTGAGGAACCTGTAATTCTGAGGCATCTTATTTCCGGTCAATTCTAAGAATGGCCCACGTAACATGTACCAGAGGACTGGAGCCCACTGAAGAACTATGTAATTTATACAAGCAAATGCTCATATTTTGATTTAAATAAGAAAAGTTTAGCCCTTCTAAAAATCAAACATAGGGTCATGTCTCCTCAAGGTAAATAACAGACAAAATCCAAGAAAGGTGGGAAGAGATCAAAACCAGGGCAATCAGAAAATATAACGTAGTTTCTGGTATTTAAAAAGCTGTCAGTATGTGAACTACAGCCTTCCACCCCCCACGTCAGGCACCCTGACAAGAAGAAATGAGAAAGAGGCCTTCATAAGTGAATAATACACTTTTGTATGAGTTTACTAAGTGTTTAGCAGTGCTGGACATGGGATCCATTCACAACATGAATGGATTCTAAAACCACTGGAAATTAGACCAAAGAAAATAAAGATTACTAAACTTGTTGTCACCGAAATGCTAGGAGAAGTGAAGACAAGAGCGCTATACTTTTAGGAATTACTCAAAGAGATCCATATTCAAGGGCCTACCACACTATGCCCCAAAGATACTGCCTCCAATACTTCAGTTTTATTAGTAAGTCATTATTTTACACACATATCCTGGTATACTGGGTTTTCCCAGTTCTTTGCTTTATACGGTAAAACAGACAAGTATATAACCAAATAACTAAAATGTTAATGAAAATCATGAGCAAATAAATGATCGGGAAGAACATTTTAGAAAAGTAAACAAAGGAGAGGTGAACACATAGATTAGACACAAGAAATATTGTATCAGATGCTTTCTGTGAAATCCATAATCTTTCAGAGTCAGGGAAATACTATATTTAATCATCCTCAGCGAGGAGAGATCAAGATGTACATTTTTTTTAAAACCTGTTAGCAAACTCACCCATCGTAGGCCCCGCTGACAATCCTCTTGTTATCGAATCGAATACAGCGCACCAGTTCCTCGTGACCTTCTAAGACTCGTAAACATGCACCACATTCTATGTCCCATAATCTGGAAGAGAAAATTGAGTCAAGTGAATTTTCATGTATTCTTTTCTAAGCTTGGCATGTTATAATAATATACTTTGTATGTCTTTAAAAAATCCACAAAAATAAAATCAATCAACATTCATACAAAAATGTGGTTGATCTCCTTTCTGTTGTATAATTCAGGCAGACAAATGTATGACTGAAGTTCATATGAAGTATATATTTTCAAAGCACAAGGCTTTATATAATCCTGTAACCAGGGTCTCCAGGGTATAAGAAGGATGAATTCAATGTACCCAGTTGCCTATGAAGGAAATGACCAAGCCAAGAAAAGTAATGCTTCCTGAAATCACCAATAAGAACGAGATGCAGAGTGCCAGTGATATCCTGCCCTCACAAAGCATGTGCACCTCTGTTACTAAGGACACTCTCTGTTTTCACCCACTGTCCAGGACAGTCTTTCTCTATAACGGAAACAAAAAGCAAGTTCTCAAAAACATTTATATACTAACTTAAAAAACTGGGGGTGCCTGGCTGGCTCAGTCAGAAGAACATGAGACTCTTGATCTCAGGGTTGTGAGTTTGTGAGCCCCATGATGGATACAGAGATTACTTAAAAAAATAAAATCTTAAAACTGCATGCTTTCAGGGGCACCTGGGTGGCTCAGTCGTTAAGCGTCTGCCTTCGGCTCAGGTCATGATCCCAGGGTCCTGGGATCGAGTCCTGCATCGGGCTCCCTGCTCCGTGGGAAGCCTGCTTCTCCCTCTCCAACTCCCCCTGCTTGCTTCCCTCTCTCGCTATATCTCTCTCTAAAAAAAAAAAACCAAAAAAATTCCTTGCTTTCAGACAAATCCAAATGAAATGACAATTTCCTTCGATATAACAATAGTTCTGTTGTTTTTTTAAATGGACTTTTCACCCTCTTAGTACTTTTTGAAGGAAGGGAGAGGATTGACAGATCTCCCAAATTCTATTCATATCTCTGTCATTCATCTTTGTGACGGGAAACACCAAAAAGTAATTCGATCTATGGATTCTTCATAATTTCAAAGACTGGTAACTCCCTGGATAATTACATAATGCGAAGAAAACAAAAGTGCACAATTTCTAGTAGGGAAACAAATCTTTTTTCTCTTTTTCTTCTTTTTATTTTTAAGAACACTGGTGGAGAGAAAACACAGTTGGCTATTTATTAGCACTTTTCAACTGTACACAGGAGGAATTTAAAGAGGAGGGCCTTCAACCTCCATCTACTTATCACTCTTGTCCACGTCTTCATTCAAGCAGTACCTTTAAAACAGGTCTATCTGGTAATAAAACTATTACAGGAAGGAAACACATCAACAAAAGGCTTTGCTGTGCTTTCTTTCTGCTTGGGGCAAACTTTTTTTTTGGCAAACTTTTGACCTATAAGAAGCTACAGAAAGGAAACACATTTGGGGCACCTGGCTAGCTCAGTCGGAGGAGCGTGTGACTCTGGATCTTGGGGTTGTAAGTTGGAGCCCCATGTTGGGGGTAGAGATTACTTAAAAATAAAAATCTTAAAAAAAAGAAAAAGAAAAGAAAAACATTTTATTATAAATATAACACACTCGAAGGTAACACACCCAGACTTCTGTGCGCTAATAATGAATGGCAGGGTAACAGTGATCCCTTCTGGGTAAGAGCACCTGCTGCTCACCTGATAGTGTTGTCAGATGAGCCACTCACGACCAGCCTGTCTCTGTACTGCAAACAGGCAATGCCGCGTTTGTGTCCATTTAAGGTCCTTACAAATTCACAAGTACTTGTGTTCCATACCTGAAAAGGAAATAGCATTTGGCAGTTGATTTGGTGTTTTTACTAGTAAGATCTATGGCATTTGGAGTCTTGGGGAAGCAGAAAATAGCACTGAGCCAACAGGGGGAAGTCAACTTCTCAAACCACACCAAAAAGAGAGAGGGAAAAAAAGGGACAAGTTTAATTCACAATAACAAAGGGCTAATTTATAGCTGGCTGCTATCACATGAGAATTCCTCAAATTGATTTACTCTTATGTGGTTAGTCTGGTTTGCAGACAAATTTTCCTGAAGCTAAATTTACCCCTACCCTTCTCATACTCACCATTATTTACAGGAATAAGATACCTAACTAAGATTTTCACACGGCTTATCTCACTCGTGGCCTTTTTACACATAGACTAGTGTCTGAATTAAATATTAAATTACTCTACACTGACATTTAAATATGAAATTTCCTTTGATCGGATTTTCACATGAACTCCCTTACTCTATGTTGGGGACTTACTGAAAAATGCCTCATTACCTTTATAGTCCTATCTCCAGATGCAGAAACGATGTACTTGTCATCAAAGTCTACAACATTGACAGCAGCTCGATGTCCGACGAGCACCCTCCGGAGGGTGATGTCAGTTGGGGAGGCCATATCCCATACGGCAATGGAACGGTCTTTGGAGCAAGTCACCATCATGCCATTATTGAAACGCAAGTGCAGAACTGCTTCACAATGGTGAATCAACGTGTTTAGCATTTCACCTGTATTTACATCCCACACCCTGGAACAAACAACATTAAAAAGGTTATCTGAGGTTTCGAGGGTGCTCCTGGCTATAATCCTATTTGACCACCACATTCCCCACACATCCCGCCCCATTTTCATAATTAGTATTACACTCTACTCTCTAGCAGCTTTGACGCTGAGGTGAGGTGAAGAGTTCTGATGGACCATGGGGAAGTGATAGACAGAGGGCTGGACTAGGAGAGCAGGAAAAGAAAGGGATAGGATGCTGCCAATGTGAAACCCTTAAGACACACTACTTGAAATCTGGGTGAGTTATGGGGAGTCGGAATGAAGATGCAACCACCATCACCTACTAACTGGGCCCAGACTTCAAGATTATTACAAAACTTCTGACATTCAATCTGATACCTTTAATGAGATACATTTTAAAGCAGGCATCTGATCAGTAAGAGTAGCATTAGTGTCCCACGAGTAGCCCTCAGGAAGCAGAACTGACACAGGCCAAGAAGCTTCTGTAACAGACTTAGTACTACGGATTTGAGCCTAATAACCCTGGATCTTCGATTTCACCATACCGGCCAGGTGCAAGATGAACTATACTCTAAGTCTGAGGCCCTATTTCTGTGCCTTGAATGGGGGGTAGAGATCAAGAATAGCCATCCTGTTGTAAATGGGGACTTAAAGCAGCAGGGTGTGGGACGTTTGGATAGCTTGAGAATTTTGTGTGATGATATATTTAACTTTGATTACTCTCTTTTTGTATATTTACTTTGATTTTCATAACACATTTTATTTCCTTTTCCAATTTAACCCCATCTTTTAGAAAATCATTTTGTCCCTTATCCTATAAATGATGTTAGTCTCTACAATGTTTTAGCTTCCTTGAGGCACTCCACAGCATCAAGAAATGTTAAATGTCGATAACTGTAAGAACTGAGTTTGCTATGCCTTTAAGTCAAAAGATAAGAAACAGGAACAGCCTTTTCTATTCACAGAGGATAATTTCGAATGGTAAACATTTAACTTCAGAGAATCTAACAATGCAGTTAACTGCCTTTTTTTGTATATATTTTTTTAAGTTACTTTTGATGCATTATGTTTTCTAATTCCTTTAGCTTAAGGCAAAACTCCTAACAGAGGTTTCCAGCAGTGCTGCTGGTACCCAGAACTCAAGCTACACTGGACTCCAGCAGCATAATGGCTGTGTCATCGAATCACTAACGCCTCTGGAAACTGAAGGCCCCTCCCTGAGTAAAGCTTGCCATTAAAAACTGCAGGGACAGCAGGGGAGGGGCTGGCAAAGAGAGAGCATTGCTCACCTGTACACATTTTAAAGGAGATAATGCATGTGTATACCGCAGTTATAACCACCTGGAAGGAGGCTTTATTCCACTCACATCATTCCTCTGTGAGTTGGTTTTTGTAAAGAATGCAAGGTTTATCAAGTTTCTATAATGGATGATTCCCCCAAATTAAAATAGAATACGTAGTTTCTTCAGTGTGCAAAAATGTAAACTTGCCTTAATCATTCCTAAATCAAGGTTTCTAGGTGGACACAATGATGTGGAGAGCTGATGGTTTATTCTTCTTTAGTTATGAAGTCTCAGAACTGTGTTCATGCAGTTATATACAAAATTACTATCTATGACTAAGAACAGAGCAGATCTGATTTTCCAGAGTTCGAAAGATCATTTGAAATTTTCTACCTGACCGTGGAATCCGATGATCCAGTTATGATCACCCTCTCATCATACTGGAGACACAGGACAGAACCCGTGTGGCCTGTGAGAATTCGCTTGCATTCCAACGTGCTTTTATCCCAGATCTAGGATGGCAAACAAGATCCTTTTGATCAATGTGATAATGGGGTGCTGCTGAGACTTGTTGGCTTTATTATGTGTTTGATTCTCCAAAAGAATCAAAGCCCAGAGCAATGTGTGGAATGCATTCTTTTCTACAGGTATAGCTAAGCACTATATATATGTGGCTTAAATACTAATGCAGACTTTATCCTTTTCATTAAGGAACAGGGGTAGCCCTATAATTATGTGAGGCCCAAAGGAGCAACAGCACATTCAGTGTACTTTAAACAGAGTTTAACCCTAGGACTATCTATCTGTACATGCTTCTGGCGGGAAGCAGGTAACTGTCCTTTAAGGAAATGATTCTGGCTTTGGGACTGGAAACAACCTAAAACTCTCATTTACTTTCTGGAAATAATGCTTAGAGATGATGTTTGGACTACCTTATTAATGTGGACACCCTTGTTCATTCAGCTACCTTCCCATAACTAAACAGACCTCACCTTGATTGTGTTGTCTCGAAGGCCGCTTACTATCTTTTGATCATCATACTGTAAACAGTAAACTCCTTTGCTTGTTTCACTTCGACAGTGGATTCTCTGTAAACTATGTCTTCCACATCTCCAGTTAGATTCTATTGTCTGAGGAGAAGGAACGGTAAAGAGGAAGTAATTAGGAAAGGACTAGGACTAAATTCTTATCTGACTTTCATGGCAACCAATGACAAATGCTCAATGCTTCACTCTATTAAATATACAGACCTTAAGGCAAACTAAAAATGTTTTTAAAAAGCCACTGTTTAAAATTATGTAACATTTTCCCATTTGCAAAGTTATTAAAGATTTATTTTCTAGAGCTCTGCTGCATATAACTCATTCAATTAAATGATAAACTGGTGGAAAGAGGGCAACAGAGGGCAAGCTATGAACTACATAAGGTTATGTGCTCAGTGCTCCTCATACATATGTGGTGGCCATTTCTACTAGTGAACTTCCAGGAAGGCTCAATTCAGAAGATATCTGAATATCACATTATAAGTGCAACTTCAACAGTCTCACTGCTATTGCATGAAGATATCATCTTCTCTCTCTCATTTACCTACCAGTAAACAATCTTTACAAGCTTTAGAATTTTTTGCCTGGCAATTCACTATATTTTACCTATCCTATTTACTTAGAAGAAATTTATTTTTAACCTACATTAATAAACCTTAATGGGTTTGCTGTAACAATGCTGTAACTGAAGAATGCTGATGATTCTCTAGTATTTGGCAAATACTCAAATATACATAGATTCTTACCTCAATGTCTTGTATAATTTTAGGATAAAGTGCTCTATAAAAAGAGTTGGGAGGAGCATTCCCATCAGGAGGTTTGTTTTTGAATAAATACTGTCCCCTAAAAAACAACAAATATTTCCCAATAAAAATCATAGTATTATACATTTACAAGGAGCTTCATAGTACTTCAAAGTGTTTTCACAGTTACCATTCCATATAATATCTATAACTAGCCTGGAAAGGCACGAAGCTAAGCCTGACTTCAGGAGTCCCATGTCAACGAATCACTTTCTGGGTTCTGAGGAACTAGGTCAACACTGATTGTCAACACGATGATTTGCAATGTAGCCATCACAGTATAATGTTATAAGGTCAACAAACAGAATACGTATAATCAGAATTTATCAACTGGTCTTTCAAACCTCTATAACACATAGATTCATTGGTCTTATCTTTTGAAAATTTTGTTGGTGATGGTAACTACTATCTCTGAACTGGGCACACGCCCCACAGTTTTTGTTTTTGTTTTTTTCCACTGAGTAAAGCTGTGCCAGCGTCAGTGGAGCCTAGCATCGTGGCAGGGAGAATGCCTCTGTCATGGAGATCATTTTTTCTAGACTTCACTTACATGGGGTAAGGTGTGGTGGGCAGCTCAGGCACCCAGGCTGCTCGTGATCGGTATAGCTATGCTTTAAAAGGAGCAATTCAGTTCATTTCGACAGAAGACAAAGGGAACACAGGAGTGTCCAGCAGCGGGTACAGAAGAAGACGAAGATGCCTAAGAGCACTGTGCTATCAGATCTAAGGCATGACACTCTTCCACAGGTGTGTCCCTGGCTATGCACAGACATACACTTATTTATTGCCTCTCCTTGATTCCAGTGAGCAACATTTGTTAGTATCTCCTTCCTTGTGACAGCACATCTCTGGAATACTCATATCCCAAGCTAGATCTTTGCTACAAAAAAAAATCAGTAAATGGCAATCACTTCCTGCTGGGTAAAAAATTTAATTCCTCATCCTGAAGTTAAGAACCCACCAAACACGGTGTGGAAGCTAGTAAACTCCACTATGGGTGTACTAACTGCTGTTCTCACTGGCACTGTGCCTTGGAAAGTGGAGATAGGCAGAAATGCCTCTGAGTGTAATCCTGGCACCAGAGAAATCATGTTTTCTCTGGGCCAGTCATCCACTCCTCCCTCTATAGCTCCATTACAATATAATTAATTGTTCAGTGTCTCCAGGAATGCTTTTCCCCTGCCCTCTTTCTATTATACACCTTGAAAATTAGTTGAGGAAATTTCCTATCAGGAAGGTAGCTGGCTTTCACTTCTGTGTTAATACAGGAAGGGAAATCTACAATGGAGAAGCTAAAATAATAGTTTTTAAAAGGGGGCTAATAGGAGCAAGAAACATGATTACCCCAACATAAAGGGCAAACAAGACACATTATGAAATAATTCTAGGTTACAAGTACACTTCCCTGAACAATCTTATTCTGTAAACACACTGCAAGCAAACAACAGATTCGGGATGAAGAAATTTTAAGTCTGGTTAATAATTACAATTTCATAATTTCAATTCCAACATCCTTTCATGAGGTGAGAATCACTACATTTATTTTGCAGATAAAGAAATCAAATGTCAGGGAGATTAGGTAACCTGTTCAAGGTCACATAGCCAGCGAGAGACTGGAATTTGAAACTGACTTTAGAGCCTATACTCTTTTAACTACTTTACTGTCTCCAGGGGCCACCATCCTTCATAGATTCCTGTCCCCCTTTTAATCTCTGGCAATTGAATACAGGCATCCCAGGATTTTCTTCATACATAACGAAACTATCTCTACATCCCAAGAAAAGAGAAAACTCTGATCTCATTTTTTACCTCAATGTATTTTTCATGCCTTGCCAAGGATCTAAATTTCTTTCAAGTTAAAGGTGCTACAAAAAAAGGTGGCAAGGTGTTGAAAACTGGTTTTTCAGTCTAGATCTGTGTTGTAAGTCAAAACCTTTTATGATGGAAGCTCTCCGACAACAGGGACCACTTCTATATGAAATGCCTAGTACCTTTGAGAATGTGAGTACATGATAAATGCTAAATATTAAATTTAGAATGTTACCATAAAATGTGATCTGCTGATTAAGAAAATGGGCTTCCCCAAGTGATCTTTTATTATACTTTTAAGAGTTACCATTACTGAACAGAGAGAGCACATTCAATGTTGTTATTCAAGACAGAAAATGACAGAGTTCATGTCATGAACTGTCAAATTCATCTAGATATAAAATACAACAGTGGAGTAGAAGTTAAACCCAAAGCTTCATTAGAGAACTAGATTTACTTATTTATTTTTGGTTGGAGGAAATGGAAAAAACTTTCAAAGCCAGCATTTGGGGAAAGGTATAACAGAAAGACTTTATTGACACAGTAGGCTTAGTAAAACAATCTGAAAGAAGATGAGAAAGTGATCATAGATTAAATTTTTTAAAAAGCGGGGGAGGACACTAACACAAGAAGAAAGGCAACATTTAAAAATAGAAGCAGCCACAGAAAGTCAAGGGGATATTAGAGGAGGTCTTCATGGTGTGGACAAATACTTGTAATTTCACGGGGCTCTATCAAGCCAAGATGACAAATGTAGCCAAAGACAAAGGAATATGGTCTGAACTCCAAAAGATACTCAAAAGAACAGGAATGGGTTCCTGTGGTTGAACAGACAGCAGAGAGAGTGATAATTAATACTGGATCCTAGATTATTCCTCAGCCATCCCTTCACATACCCCTTTAAAAGGCCAAAAGGCCATCTTTTCAATGATCTTCTTTCCTTTCTTTGTAACTAACATAACAGATCTTGCTATTTACTGCCACCCCCAAGCAAAACTGTGGAGCCTACGCTTATCTTTGGCATTTTCACATGCATCTGCCTTCTTCTTGCCTTCAAAAAAAGAAATCAGTAAACTCCCAATGTCTGATAAAGGTTTACTGTTATTTACACTCCAAATGGGAGCAAAGGATATTTTAACAGGGAAGAAAACCATTATCATCACTATGGGAGTGAATAATCTCTGTGATAGAGATTTCAGGCCAGGAGTTCCAATTTGGAGGAGAGTCTCTTTTCTTTTCTTTTTTTCCCATGAGGGGTAGTGGAATATTCCTAGCTATCCTAAAATTCTCCCATGTCATCAACTGCTCTATATCTAAGGCTGGTCCTGACATGCTTAGCAAAATGATGGACTTTGAATCCCATACAACTATATACTTTTTTGCTTTTTTATACTATAAAGAGTTTATTTCCATAGTATGAAGTAAGTTATGAAAAGGCTTCGGGTTTTTCTATATAGTGAAGTGAGAATAAGAAAAACATATTTGGGAAGAGTAACACTTTGCTTTCATTTATTCATTTTTATATAGCCAAAGAATTGCCTGACATTTGCTTCCTTTAACTGAATTTGAGAGAAATTTTAAAGTCTTCCTAATAGCCAGAATGACAAAAATTTCTTGAAGCATTTGGTATAATACTTAGAGGTCATTATGTTTATTATATATTAATGAATTTCAAAGATGCAACAACAACAAAAAAGAAGCCAACCATATTTTAATGAAAATTGCTAAGAAAAGCTGATCCTCTTTTCTTAACTGTTTTGTATCTCTTTATGGTCCAAGATAAATAATTGATAAAATTAATTGCCTAAGATATCCCTGAGCACACATATGCCTACTGGTGCATATCTATCAGCTAAAATACTTAATATGTCACCTTTATTTTACTTATGAAATATTCACACCTGACTTTCTTATAGTGACATTCTAGAGACATCCTCTGAAAGTACATATAGAAGGCATCTTCCACAAGTTTGAATGAAATGGTACCTTTATGTTAAAAGAACAACAAAATTGGTTAAGTCTCTTAGGCTGCTAACTATATAATGCCTTAAGGAATTTGGGATTAAGCAGTATAATCTTGAGAAAATATGGGTCTTATGAAGGAAACAGTGATATACACTAGGATCCCACATTTCACTCTTTCTAATGGCTAGAGTTCTTATTCTAGTTGAGTGTAAAAATAATTTTGATTACAAAGGTGAGAAAACACCACAGGCATGGATTAAAGACAAGAAATCTTCTGAAGGAGAAAATACTTATTTGTTCAGGATTATTTCAGGCATCTGATGGCTTCTGTGTGATTTGAAGTCATCTGTCTTACAAACTGCCTATCAAACCTTTGTCAGGACACTAGTTTCTGCCCAGAGAACAGAATGCTCTAAATGGAAGTCAGTTTTTGGGTGCCTGGGTGGCTCAGTTGGTTAAGCGACTGCCTTCGGCTCAGGTCATGATCCTGGAGTCCCAGGATCAAGTCCCGCATCGGGCTCCCTGCTCAGCAGGGAGTCTGCTTCTCTCTCTGACCCTCCCCCCTCTCATGTGCTCTCTCTCTCTCTCAAATAAATAAATACATAAAATCTTTAAAAAAAAATAAATGGAAGTCAGTTTTTAATAATTTTTGCAAAGCAGTATTAACACATTATTATGTCACTTATCAATGATTGGTCAGAAGAAAAACAGCTAAGTACATGTACAAACTATTTTACATTTTGTGCTATAAACCAGCTGAATCATTATATTAAATGATAAGCAGTCTCACTGGTTCCCAGTGTTATTCCAATGATTCTGAATGGCCAGGTCCTGAAGCTCATCTATAATAGCAAGAAAGTTAAAAGGCTCACCACCCTCTTCGTTCTGCCAGGCCTCTCCACAGAGAATCTGTCCTGACCATTCTCTCAATGAGCTTCTTCCATAACATGCCATCAGATGTCACTCGGTACCATTCCTTACATACAAGTTCAGCAGCACATAATGATTTGGCATCCAGGTATGACAGAATGTTCTCAGCAATGTGATCCAAACCCCGAGCTGTTGGTGGGGGGTGGAGGCCAAGAAGAAGAATATAGGTGGTGAATGATTTTTCACAAAAGGTCCTTGAAAACAGAACAGCATTTATTCTGCTCTGAAGGCACATCATTGTCCCTAGTGTGGTCCGGTTTCTTTTTCAAACAGAAACTTGGGTAAAATGAGTGTCAATAATTTTTCCATAAGGTTACAGAAATGAACAGTATTTTCCATCTTCCTTTAGATAAGGAAGTTAAAGCTAACAACCAGCAAACCCCCCAAGACATTAAAAATAAAAAGGATTCCAGAAAACAATTCACATCTATCTATATGGATTTCAGCACTAGGGGATTTTCTATGGATGGCATCTCAAAGTCTGTGATTCAGACCCCCCCAAATCTCTATATTAGGTCCATTTCTCATTCTGTTTCTATTACTGCTGCAGTTCCAAAGCTGTTCAGTAAAAGAAATATCCTTTAAATGTACTGGAGGAGAGGCACTAAGTCAGAATGTGCTGGGTTATAGAATTTTGGGCATGCAGAAAGGAGAGAAGAAGGAAATACAGATTGGTAGAGGAATATCCCGAGAGGAAAGACAGAGAGGTATGTTTAAGTTCAAGTATGAGTTTAATTTCAGATGTTTAAAACAACTATATTTGACAGTAGTTGCTGCTATAAAACCTAAATGACAGTTGACCAAAAAAACAAAACAAAACAAAACAAAACTCCAGACCAATAAATAACTTGGTTAGCATTTCAGAGACCGTTTTGTAGGATGTACAGAGGAAAACAGTGGAAGTAGATCTTGGGCTGCCTAAACTGGATGCCCTTCCCAATTAAAATACTCTACCACCCAAATCTCTACTGAGGCCTCAGAGGACTAGATCCTATAAAATAGGATGATCATACTAATAAAGCTTTTGGCTGCTGTTCTAATTCACAAGTGAGACAAACACACTCAAAGTTATTTCTCTTTCAGGTTACATATCAGAGGTTTGCTAAAGACTTAAATAGTGCAGAAGGATTCCTTCATACTCCGACTCCCTGAGGCACAAACTTAACAAATAGGAAAGAGAATACCACATTTCATTTTGTGCCTTTCCCTTGAATCACACAAAGACACACTTGGACGCCATTAGCAACAATCCAAATGTGCTTAAACATTATTCTAATTATAAAATTGTATGGATAGCAGTCACATTTTTCAGCAGATTTGGAAAAGAAAGCATTAAATGGATTTTGTTTGGCTGGCATCACATGTTCATATTTAAGCATAAGCAGATGGAGGCATCCATCACCTAATTCTTATTAAAGGAAAATGACTATAAGCCAATTAAAGATATAATAATTAGTTCTTCATGCAAAAAACAGTGATGGTACAATTCCTGCATGTTTAAATTGAAACTTTCTACACCATCAGAAGTTTCCAAAATCCACTCCTGTGTTTTTAATGGCTATCATCAAATTGTTCCTGATCTTTCACTGTCCCTACAGTAAGTCTTTGGAAGTAATTTCACCTAACACTCCAAACAAACCCATTACATTAATGGATTATAGGCATTTTTGGACGTAGTTTGGTTTACTAAATGTAGCCAGATGGTGTAGGTTTATAAGTTAAAATGGCCATAAAACATTAGACTGATGATTTAATACCTTATAAAGTGGTCAGCAGATACACACCAGGGATCAGGATTAGGCAAAGGATGCACAGGTCTAATCAACTCCTGTTCAATTCTTAGTGGTGGTATATGCTTGAGATAGTAGCATGTCTCGGAAATTGGGGAGAGCACAGTAATGAGGTACACACAGATTGTTCACACAATGAAAACTGTTTGCCTATGGCTCAAACAAAATCCAATGAGTGAAGAAGCGGCAGAAGTCTATTCTATTTAACAAAAAATATAGGTAAAAATTTAGCTTTAAAATGGTTATTTCTAAGCTATAAATAGGTATTTCTTTTGTTTTAAAGGGTGATTTAAATTCCAATTTTGGAAAAACAAATTAAAAAAAAGATAATTGGCAAAGATTAAGCAAAGTAGTAATACACAGTTTTGCAGAGGGTTGGTATATTTTTCATGGAGGACAGTTTGGCACAAGTATTAAATCTTGAAACTGTTCATAATTCTTTAATATAGGAATCCCACTTCTGTTATTTTTTCCTAGGATGCCCAAAAGATCAGTGAGTAAGAATGTCCACCACAGCAAAGTTTATAGTAAGAAAAATATTTTGAACTACCTAAATGTTCAAAAAAGGGGTTAAATAATATGAGCTTTGGCCATCAGAAAGAATATATAATACTATAAATAATCATGTTTTAAAAGAACTCTTAGGAAAATACATTAAGAGAACATAGTAAGAAAAAAATGCTACAAAAACATACGATCCCAGCTTTAGAAGGAAATATACACAACTAGAAAAAATAGTAAGGCCAAAATATTAATAGCACATTAGCAGCTCTCTCTGAATGGTGGGGTTCTGGGAAATTTCATTTTTATATTTTAAACTGTTTTGAATTCCCTAAATTTCCTATAACTTCTATAATCAGGAAACTGAAAAAAAAAAACAAAAACCAAGATATGATATTTTATAGATTCACTCATCTTTGTACTCTATTTTCTTCTTTTTTTGAGAGATAGAATGCTAGCAAGCCAGTGTGGGGGAGGGACAGGGGGAGAGAGAGAGAGAGAATTGAGCCCAAGGCAGGGCTTGATCTCCCGACCCTGAGATCATGACCTGAGCCGAAATCAAGAATCAGATGCTTAACCTGACTGAGCCATCCAAGCACCCCTGCACTGTATTTTCTTCTAAAATAAACTTTTAACAAAGAGGACAACCTTATGTTTTCTTGAGATAGCATTTGCCCCAAATACTGATGTCTACATAGTGTCCTAGGATCACCATATTGAGCATTCAGTAAAACCACATCATCCTCCCCCCACCCACAAAAGTACTTTGTGTGTGTGCGCATGTGTGTATTTATTTATTTTTTTATTATATTATGTTAGTCACCATACAATACATCATTAGTTTTTGATGCAGTGACCCACGCTTCATTGTTTTCATATAACACCCAGTGCTCCATGCAGTATGTGCCTTCCTTAATACCCATCACCAGGCTAACCCATCCCACGCATGTGTGTATTTAAACATATATATAGTTTACGAGAGCTATTTGGTTACTGAGAACAGTGAGACTGCAAAGCCAGGAGTTTACATATTTAATGTCATAAGACTCCTGAGATATTTTTCTTTCTAAAATACTCAATGAAAAATGTTTCCTATTCAGTCCTATAATTTAAATATTCTGTTGATAAATTCCCATAGAAATCTAAATCCAGGGCACCTGGGTGGCTCAGTTGGTTAAGCGACTGCCTTCAGCTCAGGTCATGATCCTGGAGTCCCAGGATCGAGTCCCACATTGGGCTCCCTGCTCGGCGGGGAGTCTGCTTCTACCCTCCCCCTCTCATGAGCTCTCTCTCTCTCTCCCAAATAAATAAATAAAATCTTAAAAAAAAAAAAAAAGAAATCAAATCCAAGTATATAAGTTAGCATATCTTAAAAACTAAGACATATTATTGAGTAACACTTCAGAAAATATGTAATTTGCATCTCTGAATGGGTTAAGAACAGGATGACTAGAAGGGCATGAGATATGGAGAAGACAGGGGAAAGAGGAGTCTCTATTTCCAGAGTGTGACCTGGGGTATTTATACCTCAAGAAGGTACGATTAAAGGATTCAGTTTATAAAAATCAAGCCAATAAAGACTTTTAAAAAGAGAGATGAAGATCCAGTTCCATTACCATTGTAACATGTTTTCCAGGCAAATTAATGGCCCACAAATACCCGTAGACATACCTGGCAAAGCAGTTATGAAATCCCTCTGCAACATAGGTTTAAGATACGAGTTTATGTGCCCATGTTGGTAATGACACATTTGGGATATAAGATGTTCCACAAATTCCACTTGATCGGACTCTGACCACTGCTCAAAATATTTGACACACAGTTCCTTTTCCTTCTCATAGCTTGCTGAGAGTTTTCGTTGCTTGGGCACAATCATACTGGAAGTGCCATTGGCAAGTTTTGTCTGTAGAAGGAGTGGATTAAAAGAAACAAAAAACAGTAACTATCGAAAATGAGGGAAATAAATACTTTTCTGATCTGGCATGCTATGTTACGTCTGTATGTTGGAGCTCACTCTGTTACTCATTAGCAATTGGATATTTGTGAACAGCGATTACATGGAAAGCCACACAAAGACCACAGTAAATTGGTAAATCAGGAATAATGCTGGACAACTAGGCGTCCATTTCTAAAAGTTCACAGGAAGATATTATTTGGAGATCTACACATGAAAACTGAAAGCTGAAAGCATGTTATTATTACTAGCAAGTGAAAAAGCTAATTTGCTTTTTCTTGTATACACGAGTTACTGGACATTTATACAATTACTTACTCACAACTTCTTTTTTAATATAAGAAACCTTCCATGCAAAGAAAGGCTGATGAATAATTTGAGACTCTAGTACCTTTGGAGATAAAGCTTTACTGTAACATTTATATGCTCAATCTACCCTTTTCCTTCTAAAAAAGAAATCAAAATTACATGCCATAAAATCTTTTTATTAATTAGTTCATTCAGTAAATATCAATTGGACACCTACAATGTGTCAAACACTGTCCTAGGTGCTAGGAATACAACACTGAACAAAAGTAACGGTCTCTATCATCAGGCACTTACACTGTAGTGTGTACAGCAAGATCAAACCATTAAACAAATAAATGGAAACTATAATGTGGATAGTGCTATTAAGAAAAATAAGGAGATAGAAAAAAAATGTACGGGTTATTGTAGTAGGCAAAATTCTAAGATGACTGCCCCCAAGATTCTTGGCTCCTGGTGTACACATACCTTCTCTCAGCTATTCAAACAAACACATAGGTACTGCTTTGATTTAATTAAGGTGCCAAATCAGCTGACCTTAAGATAGGGAGATTACTGTGATGAGCCCTTTAAAAGCAGAGAGTCTGCTCCAACTGGTTGCTGAAGAAGAAGGGGGACCACATGGAAAAGGATGTGGTCAGACTCTGGGAGCTGCCAGAGCTGCCAGATGACAGCCAGTAAGGAAATGGGGACCTCAATCCTACAAAGGCAAGGAACTAAATTCTGGCAACAATGATCTGAGAAGAGGATTTTCCCTCAGAGCCTCCAGATGTGAATTCAGCCTGGTCACCATCTTCATTTCAGCCTTGTGATACTAGGAGCAGAGGACCCCCAGCCACGCTGTGCCAGAATTCTGACCTAGAAAACTTTGAGCTGATGAATGGGTGCTATTTTAACCTGGTAATTTGTTATGTAGCAATTAAAAAAGCACAAAAAAAACTAATATAATTATTTAAGTCTGAGGGGTCAGAGATAGTTTCTCTAAAGAGATGACATTTAATCTGAGACATGAATGAAATGAGGAAACTAGACATTTTGTCACATGGGGGGAAGAAAGGTCTAGGGCAAGGGGAATTTGAGGGAAAAGGTCCTGGGTGGCAGTCTGTCTGGCATTTTCAAGGAACAGGCAAGAGGCCCAGGGTGGTTTGAAACAAGTGAACAAGGAGAAGTAAAGTTGGAGTAGTCCAAGCCAGATCATCCAGGTCATTTAGGTAGCGGTAGCTAATCTCCAATGATGGCTTGAAACAATTCCATCCCTCCCTGAACATGAATGCTGTTCCTCCCATGAAAAGGTAGAGTTTATCTTAGCTTTTGAATCTGGGCTTTGGCTAACAGAATGTGGAGAAAGTGACATTCTAGGACTCCTGAGCCCAGGCAGCTTCTGCTTACTTCTTCTAAGAGCCCTGAGCCACCATGTAAGAGATTCAGGATACCCTGCCGGAGAGGGAAGTTGGGAAGATGGGAAGCTATGCAGAGAGAGGGGTCACATGGAGAATCACCTAGAAGCCTGAGTAACATGATCTGACACCTTCTAAAAGGATCACTACTGTGTGGAGAACAGACTGTAGGGGCCATGAATGGAAATAAGGAGACTAATTAAGAGACTACTTCACAGTAGTCCATGGAAGAGAACAATCTTTTGGACTTGAGGGGTTGCTATAGAGGTGGTAAGAAATAACTGGGACTCAATGTATATTTTGAAGGCAGAGCAACTTTCTGAAGAAAGTTGGCTTTCTTTAGAGGATATCACAAAGTGGTACAACTGGGTACTTTTCAAAGTAATTTGATAGATCTTCGGCATATTTGCCTGAGGCAATCCCAGTTTGGCAGGGAGGCCAATGTTACTATAAAGCTTATACCTGCCTGGACATATTTAATGTGCCATAAAACTATCAAATTTGGATAATCAACTTCTGCTATTTAGGGCATAGGCTGGCTTAATTTCTAAATGTTAAATCCTGCATACAGGCTTCTTTACAAATGATTCCCGATACACATCTGAAAGTATATTTTCAAGAATGGCATGGCCGTTCTGCTTACACAGAAAAAACCGACACCTGTAAAGAGCAAGCCCTGGTGGGGCGCCTGGGTGGCTCAGTCGTTAAGCGTCTGCCTTCGGCTCAGGTCATGATTCCAGGGTCTTGGGATCGAGTCCCACATCGGGCTGGGCTCCCTGCTCCGCGGGAGGCCTGCTTCTCCCTCTCCCACTCGCCCCTGCTTGTGTTCCCTCTCTTGCTATCTCTCTCTCTCTGTCAAATAAATAAATAAAATCTTTAAAAAAAAAAAAGAGCAAGCCCTGGTGTATGGAGTTGGATGTTTTCTAGCATAAATGCCATTGTTGTCTATGATATAGACTAAAAATGATTAATAAGAACCTTGTGGATACAGGCCTTGGGGGGCTTTAGAGCTGCCTTTTGTGTAGGTTATTTGTTTGCATTTCAGAAAAAGAAAACTTGTGAAATATGAAGTAAGACTTAGTGAGCTAATGAATGGGGGTAGGTGTACAAGCTTCACCAGATGCCACCTCTCATCTCAACAACCCAAACCTCCCACTCCATCATCTTTTATAAATTTGTCCTTTTGTCTTTTAAAAGGTAGAAATGGACCGGAGTTGGATGCTACCCAGGGTACTGTTTTCCAGAAATGCCAGTAACAGAGAACAATAATCAGCATGGTAATGAAATGATTCTATTTATAACCTTCAAGAAACCAGATGTTTCTATAATCACAGGGAGTCATGCTTTGATCAGTAGTTATCAGACTAGTAACAGAAAAAAATGCCTAAGGATTTTACAAGTTTGATTATCCCACTGCAGGAGCTAAAGTTCAGTCAGGACTTTACTTTATATATATATATATATATATATTTTAAAGATTTTATTTATTTGAGAGAGAATGAGAGTGAGAGAGATCACAGAGGGAGAGGGAGAGGGAGAAGCAGGCTCCCCTCTCAGCAGGGAGCCCGATGCAGGACTCGATCCTAGGACCCTGAGATCACGACCCAAGCTGAAGACTGATGCCCAACCAACTGAGCCACCCAGGCTCCCCAGGATTTTCTTATATTTCCAATGATCAAATCATAAATGGGACCTAAAACGTTTGGCTATTAGAAATGAAGTATAAACTGAGAGTTCCTGAATTTACCAACTGTCTAGGCTACTCCAGCTGGTACTGCATTTTAGTTACTACCCCAAAACAGAGTATTTCTCTGTGAGGTAGAAAGACACACACCTCAGATCCATCATCACTTTGAATGAGTTACTTACTCTTACCATTACACCACACTGTATTAAGAGCTTTGGTCCTACAATACGAAGACCTGGTTTCAAATTCTAGCTCCTCAATTTACTAGCTGTGTGTCATGGCATAAACAACTTGATTTTTTTCCCCTGAGTCTCTGTTTCCCTCATCTGCCAAATTACAGGATATATTCCATTGGGTTTTTGTGAGGATCAAATAAAATAATCTAAGAAAACCATGCTTAGCTCACCACTTGGCACACAGTAAAATGCTCAATAAATCAACACTCTTAATGAACTTCTGACACTTCTGGAGTTGGGCTTTCCCTCTCCTTTTGAAAATACATCCTTCTTTCTCACTGTGTAATATATATTTTTCTGTTTTAATTTTCATTGCAGTATAATGCACATAAAATGCATAATCTCAAGTGTATAGCTAGATAAATTTTCAGAATATAACTAGCACCTAGAACACGAAACAGAGTACCATGAGCCTTATGAGCCCTGCCTTGAGCTCCTTTTATTGGGTCACTAGCCCCACCAAGGGTAAGCACTTCACTTACTTCATTTTTGTAAAAAATGTACTTTTTTTTTTAAAGATTTTATTTATTTATTTTGACAGAGAGAGAGACAGCGAGAGAGGGAACACAAGCAGGGGGGAATGGAAGAGGGTGAAGCA